GTAAACGGTGCTGGTCGAGCTCCTTTATAGGGGGCTTCTAGCTGCTCTCCCGTCCCTTCCCTCCCCCATCTCCCTCCTTCCTTCCTTCCTCCCTGCTCTCTCTAGTGCCAGTTCAGCAAGGCTCATGCAACCAGAACACTCCACTCTAAATAAATAAATCCAGAAATAAATACGGATGTGAGCCTCATTAACATTACGTGTCAAATCCCTAAGCACAGGACCCCAAATGGCCCCCTGGGTCTCCCAGTAATTTCTGGAAAGCATATAAAAAAGATGATCAGTGGCTGTATTTGTGGAAATCATTAGCAGGGTGGGGGGAGATATGCTTATAAGTCAATAATTCTTTTTGACAGAACCTTAGCACAGGTTCTGTGATGACTCTCCTTAATGGAAGGAAAAGACATACGGCCTGACTTTTATGACAGATGTCAGGAATCCTGGAAAGTGGCGCAAGGAAGATCTCGGTTATTTCTTTCCTTCTAACTGACATGGATGTATGGGACATTTTGTCAACTTAATGACTATTTTCTTTGGTTCTTCTGATCACCCCATGGCAAGAGAATACAGTGACCCACTTTTCAAAGGACGGTAAATATCATCGAAAGCAAAATCTGTGTTAGAGAAAATCTAAAGAGCAGATGTCAATCTGAATTCTTAAAAATCATGTAATGTTGGATTTATTCCACATTACCTATGCAGTGTGCTGATCTTTGGGGTTTAAAAGTCAGGACAGTCAGTTTCACATTTAACTCTCTAATGAAGTTTCTATGGCTCCCATGTTGTTTATTCTAGAGAATGTTGAGTTAATGGTCCACCACCAGAGAGCTTTTCCTACTGTTTTGCATTCTGAGATTTATAAACATGACCCTCAGCATGGTCTAATAAAGATGTGGTCATTGGATCCCGCCCCCCCAAATGAATCACCAAAGCAGATAGGTGACATGCCAGCTTATGTGAGCCGCTTTATTTCTTTGAAGGAGTCATTTCTAGTGATATACGCAGAGTTGTATTTCCAAGAGAGCTGATTACGGGCCATGAGTGGACAAGTTTAGACATTGGCCCTGATTTGGAGAACACGTTCCCAAGGCATAACTAGTAGATTTGATTTGGGAGAAAAGAAGGTACGAGATACAATGCAGCACTTTGTAATCATTTATTGGTCTTGGAAAGGGCCCTGAAGGTGCTTGAATTATAATAGAAAACAGCTGTTATAAATCAGGCTGTGAGTGCAGGGGACGTTCCACGGCAGAACAGACGTTTGCTGGGGAGATGTGTTTCCTGGCCCTCACTTGGTTTGTGAGCAGAAGGGAAACTTAGGTGACATCAAGATGCACCCGATTTTCTTTTTCCTTTCCTTTTAGCACCGAAGCAGTACCAGCAGCATCCCTCCTGGCTAAGCCTGAATTGTTGAAGGGATGGTGAACACTGTTTTTTCAAGAGCACAGTTTTGAGGGCCTCTGACTGCCTGGCTGGTGGGTACTTTCACTGATTTTCGCAGATTAGGTTTACAAACAATTTGATGTACCGTGTACCATACCTATTCGAGCCAAAGAGACAGCCTGGTCCTTTCTTTCTCCCACTGCTGAGTCTGCCCTCCAGGTTCCCATTCCCTTTCCAAACGCCCCCTTGCCTGACTGTGTCATGACGTCCATCTCCTTGGTTTCTCTATTCCTGGTCTCCATCTCCACCCAATTCGTGTCTCTTTCTTCTTTTGTCATTTCAGTTCCTGTCCTTCCCCCACTTCTGCAGCACTAGTGAAAATGAAACATTGACTTGGGTTTTTGGAACCCTCAGTCAGGGCTTCAGAGAGTCCATGGCAGAAGAGGGTCCCCTTCGTGAGATCGTGGAGGTTAACTTAGGCACCCTCCCAGCCCGGGGCTCCCTGTTGCTGGGACCGGTGGTTTTTTTGCCCATAGTTGGTTGGGCCAAACCAGACATTGCTTTTCGGTCCTGCAGATAAGAAGAATGGAATAGAAACTTAAAAATATTTATATTTAAATGAATTAATGATTTTTTTATTGCAGTATAGTTGATTTACAATGTTGTGTTAGCTTCTGGTATACAGCACAGTGATTCAATTATATATATTTGTGTGTGTGTGTGTGTGTATGTATGTATGTATGTGTATGTATATATATATATATATATATATGTATCTTTTTCATATTCTCTTCCATTATGGTTTCTTTGTGCTATACAGCAGGACCTTGTTGTTTGTCTATTTTATATATAGTAGTTTATATCTGCTAATCTCAAACTCCTAACTTATCCCTCCTCAAACCCCTCTTCTCCCTGGTAACCATAGTTTGTTTTCTATGTCTGTGAGTCTGTTTCTGTTTTGTAAGTAAGTTCATTTGTATCATATCATTTATAAGTGGAATCTAAAATATTACGTAGTATTTGTATTTCTCTGTCTGACTTACTTAATATGATAATCTCTAGGTCCATCCCTGTTGGCTGCAAATGGCATTATTTCATTCTCTTTTAATGGCTGAGTAGTATTCCATTGTATAAATATATCTCTTCTTTGTCTTTTTGTCTGCCAGTGGACATTCAGGTTGCTTCCGTGTCTTGGCTATTGTAAATAGTGCTGCTGTGAACACTGGGGTACACGTATCTTTTTTAATTTGAGTTCCCTCTGGGTATGTGCCCAGGAGTGGGATTGCTGGATCATATGACAACTCTAGTTTTAGTTTTTTAAGGAACCTGCATGCTGTCCTCTATAGTGGCTGCATCAGTTTACATTCCCACCAACAGTGTAAGAGGGTTCCCTTTAAAAGAGACTTTCTGAATTGATTTTGAACCTCTTCCAAGTCTTTCGGAACGTGTTGGAGTTTTCACAGTTGCCTTCACAACCGGTGTTTGAGCACAAAGGTAACATTTTCTTTAGCAATAGACAGGAAGAGCATCCGCACCCTCAGAATCAGGATTAATGGGGCCATTTGGAGTCAACAATTTTAGCTGAAGCTTTCCATTTTCATGTATAATTTTGCACATGTAACCAGAAGTCCAGAGAGAAGTCAAAATTGGTAAATGCCATTGTGAGTTTTATTTTCTAATTCTATTAGAGTTTCTCATTCTCGAAAGTTTGTATTTGGCTTTTTGCTTTGCTCACTTAAATGCTGTTCAGTTTGTTTTTTCAAAAAGAACAACTCCTGTTCTCTTCAAATGAATTATTTAATTATCTACCAGAATTTTTCTGTGAAAACCTTCTTATAAGAAATAGCAACATATTTAAATCTAATCTACGTAGTTTCTCTCTTGTTAGAAACAACAGTTGGCCCCTGCAAGTGTGGACCATGTTTTTCTAGTTTCCAGGCCAATGCATGCATTTCACCATCATATACATTCTCAGTGAAGAGCGGCTTAAGTGATCTGCTTTGTTCACGGCTTGATTATGTTATTTTACTGTTCCTGAAGACCTGACACAAGGCAAATTTACATTACTGTGCTCCTAATTAGCCGATAATCCTTAAGGATTTGAATGATACATACCCAGAGTAATGTCCTCCTTCACTAAACCTGAATTTCCTTACGTCAGGTTAAGGAGACAGTGGATCTGTGGCAGAAGGCATCTTGGTGATGACAGCCCTCAACATGTCTGTCTCCCGATCCCACTGCGTTCAAAGCCACATGATGGTTTCAGCAGTATCATAAGTCCCGTCACAGGGAATCAATCAGTGCCCTGTGCAGCTGGGGAAGGGCTGCTCGGTGGTTCATCAGATGGGAACGATTCTTGTAGATGCTGCTTCTAGTTTTTAAATTAAATCAGCAGCGCCTGCCTTTGCCTGTGATCTGCACCCTGCCATGTCTGCTTTACACTTTCGGTTGGAAATGTGTCCATGTCACACAACAGAGGACCCACATGGGCCCACGGGCAGCCTGGTGCCACTGGTGCCCGTTGCCCTGGCTCTGAATCCTCTTGCCTCTCTGTACACATGGCTGTTGTCTCCCTCACACCATGAGATGCTCCTCTTCCCTTGATGCTTGGGGTGGCTACCAGCTGGGGGGATGTTGGGTTTCCCTGTGTCTTTCTTCCTAACCCAACCCTGTCTTGTTTAGGTCTTTTTGTCCCACATGGCAGTGTGCTTCAGAGGAGGCAGGCTCTGTCTTCTTTCGCAGGAGTAGGTCAGGATTGGTCTAAGCCAGTGCTTCTTAAACTATTTGGACCATCATTCACAGTAAGAAATTCATCTTACGTTATAGGTGAACACACACTTAAGTAGGTAGGAATCTATATGTGGATGTTTACATCTGGACTCAAATTTTGATTTAAGAAAATGGGAGTTGGGACCAATGATTGTTTTAATTTTAGTTTCCAGTACATGGTCTAAGCCAATCATGATGGCTCACTCTCCTAGCTTGTGATTGGTTTAAGTGAGGGCATGTGATGTAATTCTGGCCAATAAGAAGCTGAGGAGCTCCTATGAAGGGTTTGAATTACTAGCAAAGAGACAAGAGGGGAGTAACTGTTCCTTTCCTGGTGGGTGTCAGGCTGCCTACTTATGGTGCCTGAACCTGAACGGTCCAGGAAGGGGCCAGGCTGAGATGGCAGAGGGGGAGGGGCCGGGCTGGGATGGCAGAGGGGAAGAGGAAAGACAGCCTGTCCTTGAGTGTGTTGCTGAATTGATCAGTGCGCTCCCTGCCACTGCAGGAATTCTTGTTGTGAGATAAATCTCCCCGTTGTCTCAGCCAGTTCAGCTAGAGTTTTCTGTTTCTTACAGTCAAGAGCTTCCTAACTCACGTGCTTTTTCGGTGTTTAGAAATCAAATAACCTGAGCCGGGGTCTGTGGTAAGCGATGCTGATGGACCAGGGCCATATTCTAATTAAAAGAATAAGATGAACTTGGAACCCTTTTTGTCCTGTGAAGCCAACCGAACATTTGTGGCTTTAGTGGCCCGCGGGACTGGTTTTGGGACCTGGTCCAGCAGACCACTGGAATTTGTGATTTGACCTTGTGGTCTGGCTCTTTGTAGGTGAGCTGGAAGGCCCGGGCTGTAGAGTCGTTTGCAGTGTGGCTGAGCCTCCCGTTTGGATTCTGTGTGCTGAGGAATGGATTTGGTGTGCGGTAACGACGTCACGGGTGAGTCTAGTGGACACAGCAGCTCTGTGACGTGCTTTGTGCTTCTCCTCCTGAAATTGTGGACTCACTGATTCTTGAACATGACTCAAACTCATTTTCTCATGATGAAGCATTGTCTACCCCACCACCATCCTCGCACCTCCCACACCCAAAAAGCGATTTGGTAATGCTGGAAGTGAAAAGAAAGTGAAGGAAACGGGAATTCACAGCCAAGAAAAGGACTCGGGGGCAAAGTCGGGAGTGAAATGCGGGCGTCAGTGGCGCAGGCACAGCACAAGGAGGAGCCCCTTGGGGGGTCTACGTGGGAATGGAAAGTGTGACCTCAGAGATCGTGGGAGGCGTCGCCCGGGGCACAGACTGCTCGCGGACGAGGGCTGAGTGTCGTGGAAGCTGGGGGAGCGCCTGTGCTGGGCTGTGTGCCGACCCAGGTGAGCTTGTTGGGAACTGTGTCCCTGGGTGGGAGTGTCCTGCGTGAACGTCAGGGTTTTCTAACCCGTGGTGTGTGAATGCTCTGAAGGTCAAGAGGGTGGCAGGGGCTCTGCTTTATAGGAGATGCAGGTCATTCATCGATAGGAAATTGCAGTCATCGTTTTATTTTTGATAGTCTTGCTGAGTGTGCATCCTCGCAGACTTGCGTGGCCTCCCTGCTCGCCTCCTGTGACTAGCCTTTGCTCAGGTTCAGTGTGTTAGGTTTATCAACTTCCAGGGACTTAATTAATTAAACAACAATATGTCAAGTGTCTACAGTGTGAGGTGCTTGGTGGGGACAAAGAGGCACAGGAACCAGAGACAGAAGAGGGAGTAGTGAATCACTTGGTGACAAGCAGGTAGCCGCTGAGAATGTGGACCCGATGCTGAGGTCACAGCTCCGGACACTTGTCTGGTCTGTGCCGTGAACACCTGCATCACTCATCTCCCTCCGTGGCGTTGCCCACAGTCGAAGCTGGGGCCCGAGGCCAAGCCTTGTGTGGTAACAGTTTGCGCTGTGTGTGAGGCGCTCGTCGGCGCTGAGTCTGCCTCCAGGTGCGCGGACTACCGCCAGGGTGCTTCTGGGGCCGCCACAGTGGCGAGCACGTGCTTGTGTGTAAGCTTACCTAGTCCAGGTGTGTGTGTGCAAGGGTCCTTTTCAGAGAGATGATGGAGAAAGCAAAGAGGGAGCAGGTGGAGGGAGAGCCCCGTGCAGCAGGAGTAGGGAGCTTCAGCTGGGGCCAAGAGGAGAGGAACATGGAAGGTTCCAGAAAAGTCTGGAGAACCTGCAGAGTGACGCCAGAGACCAGTGCAGTGGGTTGAAATATGTCGCTCTGTGGTCTGCTGAGACAAGAGGTACAGTTTTTAAGACAAGTTCTTAATGCTTTAATCATCTGTGGTGACTTCAGAGTTTTAGATCTGGAATTTATCAATTTGCTTATAAAAAGAGAGATGTAATGTTTGGCGCCATGCCCAAGTTAATTAAAGTTAATTAGAAATTGGTTATTTGATTTTGAATAGATAAGTTAGCCATCATACCTGAGAAAGGTGCATTTATTCCTCAAAGAGTCAAATCTGCCCCCAGAGCACATGTTCTGTGCAGGCCTTGTGGCCCACGTGGCCAGGGACCGTCATCTGTGCTAGGTCCGCCCCCACCTTGGAGGCGCCGACGTCTGGGAGGTGCTCGCCGGCAGGAGTCTCCTTCGTTAAGCCTGGACACCGAGAATTTGAGGTTTGTTGAACATGTTTTCCTCTGATGTCCATGTTCTGAAATTCCTAGGAGAACACAGGGTACCCCCTTGAGGTGTTAATTACGCTGTAAAACCATTTGCTTTGGGGAATCTGATTTCATTTATTCATCTTTCAAAACTGAATCGCCAGAATCCAGAGAAGATAACAGTTGAACATAGAGTGTTTTGCGAGGATGTCAGCTGAAACTCAGAAATGTGTGTACAGTAGAAAGTGTGGAATCATCCGCTTTTGGGCTTCAGTCGTTTTCACAGTGTTGTTTGAACCTGTCTTTCTCTCAGTCCCAAAGGAAGCAGTCCCAGTCAAGCTGCCTTTTCTCCAGGTCTAAATTGTAAGTGTCTTTAGGGCAGGAGAGGCTTAGGGATTTTTTTGGGGGGGGGCACATTCCTATGGATTCTAGAATATTCCATGTGTTTGGGTCTTACTTCTGGGATTGTTAAAAATAACTGTGGCACTCGATGTTTGAAGCACACGTGGCTAGCCCTTCTGTGATGGCGACAGGGCTCATTAAAGCCCAGATACCCTGGGGGTCTGAATGCCCAGAGCCCCAGCCTCATCCAAGTTTCCAGGGCTGCAGTGTCATGACATTGTCATTAGCAACTTGAATTGATGACAGAAGACAGCAACTGACCAGAATGAAACTTTAAAAGTGAAAACTGGCGAAACAATTGTTATTGACCTAAATGGAAAGTGAGTTTTGTAATTTGAAACTAAATTATTTCCAAACATTGCTGGAGTTGTCCCTGAACCGGGAAGATGGTGAAAATCTGCCTTCAAAAGTTCTTGCGAAGCACGGAGGTTGCCAGCATCGTTCGGAAGCACTCTGAGGAGCCCTTGTGATGCATCCAAAGGCTTGCACGCAGCCCCTGCAGAGCTGACCCGCAAGATTTGAGGAGATGGGTCCCAGGTACACGCAGGTGAGTGCGAGTCAGAGAAATGTAAGCCGTGTGAACGCATCCTTCCACACGGGGATTATCATCTTTCATTCAGAATTTAGGCCGACAGCGGACAAAACGTAATCACTTTCCAGCATTACTGCACTGTATAAGCATATTAGGAGAGCTCTGTGATGGTAATCAGGGAGTGAGCTTGAAGCCACCCCTAATTAGACTGTCTGCACCCCCCAGCACTTTCCGGTAATGATGTCAGACCGTGTAGCAATTAGTTGCACCTCTATGAATGTCAACACTGTTTGTAAATCATATAAACTTAACCGGGTTTGCTTATTGAAAATCTCCTAAAAAGGAATTAATTAGCTTTGTATGTTTTGGAATCGCAATTTATAGGATCATTTTGGAATCTTTCACTGAGATGAAATTAATTTTTTTTCCCTGCGACTCATTTGAATGGAATCTCTCTGGCAGGGGGCTGCGAAGGAAGATCCAGTACAATTGACTTAATCTTCACTTTATTTCTGTGACGGCCGGTGGAGTGTGGAATTTAGGACGGGGGTTTACTGAGTTAACCCAGTTTTAAGATGTTTTTCTCAGGAGGAAGGTGTATACGTATCATCCGAAGGCTGCATCTTCCCCGTGTTTTCCGCTTTCCGGCCAGTGCAGAGTGTTTCGAGCTCATCTGAACGTGAAGTTCGGGCATCGGAGCAGCCTTGGTGTAGCCGCACGTCATCCTGGGAGACGCCTGTCTGCAGCTGTGTGGGACCAGCTCCGGAGCAACGGCGGATTCCAGGGAAGCGGCCAATTCCAGACAAAGAAATTGGACAAGCAAAACAGACACTCAAGTGCTTTATCTCAGGGCTCTTTTCGTCCGCCGGCAGGAGCACAGAAGCAGCGGGAACCCAGTTTAAAACTGACCGGGCCTTTGATGCGGTTTTCTTGCTGAAACCTCGGATCCTGGTGGTGGATGGTTTACCTGAGCCATCAGCTACGTAGCACATTTATGGTTATTGTATTTTACAGGTTGATAGATTTTTATATTCTGTCCAAGTCAGGATCCTACACCACCTGGTTTATTATTTGGTAATTTACAGTGCAGTCAGGCGTGTTTGGCTTAATGTAGGATAAACTTATAAATCTATTGTTCCTTCACTTGCCAGGGTGGGTGTGCAGTGAACTACAGAGCTGGATGCGTACATACATTTCAGCTCTGCTTTTTTCTTTGATAGGGAAGCAGGCAATAGATAACACAGTGACAGTAGCATCCCAGGAGACAGCAAAATGTGAGAGCAACACCACGTCAGGTTAGTAGGTCATTATTGTGTGAGCCGTGAACCATTAATGGACTGCTACGCCTAGCTCAGTCTGTGTCAGATTATGGCTCTTGGCAGGAGAACTGTTACCTAATAGCTAACTTTGCTTCCTCACTAGTGTCTTATTAGTTTCTCTGATAAAAATGTGCACAGGTATATATTAATAGGGGGGCTCGTTGGAAACAGGCCAGATCTTGGTTATGTCCCCTACCTTCTGCAAACAATGCCTCTGTGTTGATTCTGGTCCAGTACTTCTTTGAGCGAATGGCGTTCTTTCACAGGCATTTTCAGATGTCTTGTAAAACACATAGCTAAATACACAGTGCTACCTGATGCAAAAGGCCCCGCTGTTAATTTTGTTGCTGTTGATGATGTAAAATGAAGAAGTACTGGGAGTGAAAGAATGAGTTAAGGAGAATTTATCCCTGCTACCTCAATCCCTAACTGTCCAAACTGTAAAAACCCTGACGTACTTTTAAATTCTGAGAAATAAAGTCCACTATTCTTGAAACAGTACTCCCAAAGCAAGGGCCACATGGCATTCTATAATTTTTATCATGTGTAAGATAGACAAGAAAAGCATATATTTTTATGTGTGGCTTCAGGTAAAAGCATGCATTTCTAGGGAAATTATAAAGAATCCCTAGTTTTTGAGTTATAATGGCAAGAGGTTTATATTGTGTATTTGGGACCCGTGGTGGAATATTTCTGCCATCTTTTGGAGAAATAAAGGTCACCACATAGTTTCTTTCTTATAAACAACCCCCCACCACCCCACCCCGGTCTCTGTGCTTCAGCATGCATCTCCAAACAGAGTCACAGAAGTGAAGAATTCCAAGATGTTTGCCGGGAGAGATGAGCGTGCAGCTGAGTTTGGACTGGGATTATGCCCCAAAGTCCCTGTGCTGGATTATGCCTGTCATTTTTGGAAATTCTCTATGATGTCAAGAATGTGAAAGGATATGGGTAGCAAATACTAAGGAAATCCTTTTAACCGGATAGGCGGAAAGCAGATTAGCAGAGTTGACGGTCCAAAGAGAGAGATAGGAAGACCACTGGGAATTGGCCTTGGTCTGGA